TAAGACCAAGGAGGTGAGCAAGATGATGCTAGATCCAGCCCATCCTAACTGTCCTGTACAGGAACACTCTCTCGGAGAGGTCCGCCTCCTTTGGGAGGTTCCGGGAACTCTCTATTAACATGATGACTGTGTCTCAATCACCCAGCTCTGGCTATGCTTCCCCAGTGGTATCTTCAGCAGTTAGTCATGCCATATATCATTGCTGCCCAGGCCAGGCAGTGGAGGCCAGGCAGGAGGGGGGGAAGATGGATAGACTTTCTTTTCATCAAGCAAGAAAAATCAGTCAGTCAGGGCCCAACGGTTCCGTAAAGCAATGGCTTAACCTGGGCAGCTGGACTTCAGGCAATGGGAAGATTGAAGTGAGCTGTGTGGTCCCTAAGGTATGGATGTGGTCACTAGGAGTCCCAACACCCCTCAGAGATGGCTCAATTAGCTGCAGGGGACTTAGGTACAGTGGGGAAGGCTCCTTACTTCTAGAAAGAAAAACAAAAAAACTGGCTCTATGGCATCGCGGGAAGATGTGTTCCCCATGGAAGGCCCACACTGTTGGGTGACCACAGACATGTCACTTCCATTCCCTTTTTGGTAGATAAAATGAGGGAAAAGTTTCCTTCCCCTCTTACATTCTCAAGGAAGTGCCCACTGACTTGGTTTCTAATGTGCTCCTCTCAGAAAAACAAAGACTATGTATAGCAAGTAAAGGATGCTGCCCACGGTGGCTTGGGCTTTGGTGGCTGAAGTTCCAGCAGTGGGGTTGTCATTAGGTGTGTGAGACATTTAATTGCCACCTGCTAGTGTGTTGCTGTGCAATGTGGTAGGGTCCAGACATCCAAGGTTATCAACCCTTCTGTTGGCTTGCCCTGAGTCTCTCCCAGTCTTTGAGTTCCCCAGTAACCTAGGCAACAACATCAGTCTTGGTCCATCCCTGTGTGTTAAGCTCTGTTCTGCACTTAAAGAAGGGGGCAGATGACAGGCAATGTAGGCCTTGCCCTAGGAGATCTCAGCCTGGAGATGAAGGTTCTCACTCCAGGCAGCCTGTAGGCTGGCTGGGAGCAAAGGGCCTTTTTAAACAGGAATCAGAGAAAGAACAATCCTAGCTCAGCACGTACAAGGCAGGGATGAATAGCTGGACCTTTGGGGCAACAGTGGCTGTGCAAGCTGCTGAAGGAACTGGGCTGACGCTGAACCTAAGTGGTCAGGAGCTCTCCAAGGTCTTCCCACCTACAGAGATGGCCATCGGCTTGGCGCTTTGGTTTTTGCTGTCCGTGGTGCTGAATGGGCCAAGCCTGTACCCTGGCTTCTGTAAATGTCACTTCTAGCCTCTACCTCCCTGTTGCCATCACCTGCCCTCCTTATAATTCTTTCCAAATAACCAAAGACAACATCTCTCCCCGCAACACCACATCACTCGCTCTTTCTCCTATGCCCAATCAGCCTCTTGAATTATTTCCCAAAATGGTCCAGTGCACTTCTTTACATGGTTCCTGTCTTATGATATATCCTTATATCTTAATGAGGATATGAGAGATAGAGGTGGTAATATAGGGAGCATTTGGAATTAGGGATTCTTAGAACTGCCAGAATGGCTTCATGGCTGGCATTTAGAAAAACGGAAAGGCCCACTTAGTAGATAAGCAACCTACCTAAAATGCCAGTGGTTTCATTGGGAACCAATGGGAATGACTTTTTCTGAGAAAAGAAACTGAGGCAAAAGGGAGAAGACTTTCCATCACCATCTAACCACCAAAAACAAAATTAGAGATAGATGATGAGCTCCAGGCTCTGAACCACCTTGGGAGAGCCTCTGAACAAGGAACTATTAGCAAACTATTGACACCTGAAATAGGGAGAGCCTGTTGCTTCAATAGTCCAGTGTTACTCTGGGGACCCTGTCTGTAACATCCAGACCCTAAGCTTCAACAGTCCAGTGCCACTCAGGGTATCACCACCTGTAGCATCCAGATCCTAATGCCCCTGGAAGGACACACCACACTCCATTAACATAGATCCTCAGCAGGTGCACCTGTGTTGCTGTGGTAACGGGTACCCACCTCACTGCATCCAGCCCCACAGTTCTGGCCTGGACATCTGCCCTCAGACTGTATGTGACCATCCTCCTGAGGTTTGGGGAAGGAGGAGGGAGCAGGGCTCTTTCACTCTCCTGTCCAAGGCTGTGCCTGAGGGCTCGGTGCCCTCATTAGTAATAGCAGACAGCTCCCTCAAAGAGCAGGCACATCTGTCTTCCAGTCTTCTGGTGCCCAGTGTTGATAGCTAGAAACTCATCCCCAGACAGCAGTGGGCCCCCAGAGGGAAACCCTTTTCACTCCCACATACCACATTTCAGATAATGATTTTCAAGGTTTAGTAAATCTAAGTCAATTCAGTGCTGTCCAAGTGTACTTAAAGTCTTGCTCCTGAGGGGCACACAGTGGCCCCAGTACAAACTCTGCCTACTTGTCTGTCACCAGGGAACTTAAGTTCAGTAGCAAAGGGAAGGACTAGATTCAAAGAGACAGAGCCCTCACTGAAACATGGCAAATGCTCTACAATAGATTTTTGTTTTTCAAACTATACAGATTGTGTGAAAAAAGTGGGCTGTGAAATCAATTTTGTGGGTCATGGCTAGCATTTGTGTATGGAGCAAATAGACATATTAGAATGGAGTAGAATGGAAAACATTATAGCTATGGTCAAACTACATTTTTTACTTTGTGAAACTGGATCCAAGCACTCATGTGCACGTGTGTGTGTGTGTGTGTGTGTGTGTGTGTGTGTGTGTGTGTGTGTATTTGATAGTACAAAAATGTATGTGTTAATGGAGTCAGGGGACAATAAAATGGTGTGTGCTATATTCTAAGAAGTGAGGCTCCCTAGAAGAGGTACTTAGAGGGAAGAGAATGATGGGTTCAGATATATAGTGTTAGACAGGCCCTGTGTAGGAGCTGGCATTGGTCCAGTTAGAGGATAAGTAGGAGTCTGTTGAAGAGTGGAGAACTTGCAGAATGCCTCAAGGTCTGGAGTAGGATTGCTCTGGGCATGCTCTAAGCCCGCTAAAGCAAATGCCAGCTGTGTATGGGGTGCTAGGCAGGCATGGGGGCCAGGGGTAGAGAAATCTTAATATCATACCAAGAAAGTTGAGTTTCATTCTTGATAGTAATAAAGAGAAACTTATTGATGGATGATTTTTAAGCAGGTATGTATCATGTTTCTTACCAACAGTGAAGGAGGTGTTCCCACAACATGCCAGGTAAGGAATGTCACTGGATAAAGGAGTGGTAGGACCTTGGGAGTCTGGGTCTTTCTACAGACTGCACAAAGATTTTTTTAAATTTTATGTATCTGAGTGTTTTCCCTGTATGTATGTCTGTACACCATGTATGTGCTTAGTGCCCAAAGAGGTCAGAACCAGGTACTAGACCTCCCCGAACTGGAGTTAGGGATGATTGTGCTAGGAACTGAACCCAGGTCCTCTGCTCTTAACCACTGAGCTTCTCTTAACCATCTCTCATCTCTTTCTAATGGGCACTGAGCATTGAAGAGGTGCTGGGGTCTCTCGTGGAGGGTTACAAGCATTGTGAGGCACCACTGGCTGACTCAGGATCCTAACAGATTTGGGCCTCATGCTGATGGCACCGGAGGCAAACTTTTTTAAACCCTGAATTTGAAAACTCTGTTGGCTTAGAGCACCAGATTAAAGAATAATTAAGCTAATAGACTCTCCCCCCATTGTTCTCTGCTCTTTGGCAATGCTCCTTAATAGTCCCATCTCTCTGAGCTCACTGTCAGCTCAGTGAAAGGGAGTTTCTAAGTAACTTAATATTTTTTTTCAGAACTCACTGCTTCCACAAACAATCTAAAGTTTCCCCTCCAGCCCCATGACTCTGTGCTCTGAGCTATTTATTTTAATTAGCTTTATATTGTATATCTAACATGAGCCAAAAAAGAAAACCCATGAACAGTTGCCCATTAGCCAGTAAACAGAGCCCTGGAACAAATCACCCCCAAACAATGGATTATTCAGAATTGCAATCAAAGGGGAGGTGAGCTCCCTGCTAACAGTGTGCTGCAGAGCAGAGACTGGGGTGGGGCTTTGCTGCCTGGAGAGGGTGGGAGTGGGCTATGGAGAGAACAGCTTCAAATCTAGATTTCCCAGGCCATAGCGCTGGTTGAACGCTGGGTCTGAAAATTTTGGGCCTTCAAGCTTACCCTTGGTGAAGCCTGGGCTTCTGCCCACTGGACACTGCTGCTCCAAAATGTCCCGTCGAACACCACGTTTGACTTTGATGTGAAAACTGGTTCTCTGAACATACACAGCATACAGTGGCCTGAAAAGTGGTTTAGTTCCAGGGCAGGAACACAGCCCTGCATCCCCAAACTTCCATGTTATCACAACCCGATGACCTAGGGGTCAAGAACACAAAACCCAGAGCCAGACCTTGACATCTTGGTATTCTTGCCTCTCCCTGTGCCTCAGTTCCCTCCTCTACAGATAAAGGATCAGAACAAAGACTGAACAGCAGGTGTATCTTGTCCATTAGACTCAGCTAGAAGAGCACCTGGACAGGCAAGCACATGCTGTATAAGTGGCAGCGATTGCTGAAATGCAAAAGCTGCTATTGAAGAAGAGTATGGGGCCACATGGGAAATGATGGAAGCGGGGACGGAAATTATTTGTTGTGCTAAAAGCAGCCAATCTTCAGCCACAACCCAGGACTCACAATTGTAGCAGAGGAATAAAACGGAAAAAAAAAATGTGTACAAAGAGCTGGCCAATGAGTGTGTCTGAAATGGGCTTTAGCATGCCTTCCAGCTACTGTGTATGCTAAAGCCCCTTGTGCAATTTTCATATAAATGACTCATGCAAGCTTTCAGATACGCATTGTGTTTTCAGGTCCAGGAGAACTAAGGAGTGTGGACCTTATCCTGCAGGTACCAGGGAGCCAGGCAGGGTTTTTAAGGAGGGAGAGGACCTGACTCTCAGTGGTTGGCATCTTCTCTAGGGAATGCCTACCGAGAATGCCTGGAGAATGGGACGTGGGCCTCAAGGATCAACTACTCACACTGTGAACCCATTTTGGATGACAAGGTGAGTGACCCTGCTTTCTCCTACTCAGGACCTCATAGAGTGTTAGGTCCCATACTAAGCACAAAGGACCTTACAGACAACAGAACCAGTCTTTCTGTTACCAAGACCTTCTTTTCTGCATCTCCTGTCCCCCGTGGAGGGCTTGAGCTGGTGACGTGAAACACAGAAAGGGCACAGCCATGTCACCAGTGCTTCCTGAACTCTTCCACTGAGCCTCGTTTTCCCCGCTGGTATTTTGCTTCTACTATTTCCATGGAGAAGTAAGTACAACCTCATCAGGACATCCCGGCAAGAAGCTGGGCCTGCCTGGGCCTTGCCACCCAGTACTGGCTCTTGCTCTGGAAATGGATTCGGTGCTGCCAAAGATCTAGCCTCCTTTGCCATTAGGTATAGCACTGTGTCCAACAAGGCCCCATATGTGCTAGGCAAACGCCCTCCCCCTGGTCTCCACTTCCAACGAGCCATGCTTTACTTCTGACCCAAAATGGTATGCCCCAGCTCCATCGCCTCACTCACCCAAGGAAGTCCTCAGGTGGTCTGCAGTTCTTCCTCAAATAAAGTCCAAGCGCAGAGGCTGGAACATTCACCTCTTCTGAGAAGTGGTGCCACAGAACGTGAGCCCAATTATTCAACAGAGAGGCCTCAGGGGAGCAGGAGGAGAGCCATATAACCTCCATAGAAAGAAGCTCCGCTCAACAACCCTCTGTTCTCTGTTCTTACAGCCCTTCAGGTGATGCAGGTAGACTAGCATGTATTCCGTCTGAGTGTTATTCATAAATGTTCTACAATGGATATCTTTATTGCTATGCTCGGGGACCAATCCCAACCTACCCCTCTGGTCCTCCCTCCTTCTAAGGTAGGAGGGAAGGCTGGCCCCATAGTATAGATGTCATAAGGGCCACCGCACCCTCAGTTACTCTGCCAGCTGGAGTCTGAGCAGAGACTAAACCCAGATGTGGCACTGTAGAGGCTCGAGTTTTAAATCTGTGTCTATAGCTCTAGGGTATCTCAGACTAGACTGTGTCTACTGGGCGTTGGTGGCGCACACCTTTAATCCCAGCATTCAGGAGGCAGAGGCAGGCAGATCTCTGTGAGTTCAAGGCCAGGGTCTGCAGATTGAGTGTCAGGACACCCAGATTTGAAACACAGAGAAACTGTGTCTCTAATGCCCCCACCCCCAAAAGACCATGTCCAAATGTGCCCCTAAAAATCCATGTTGGGAGGCCTGGCCACAGCTTCTGTGAGTGCACGTGTGTTGCTGAGGATGAACCCAGCACTGCAAATGCTAAACAGGCTCTCGACCACTGATCCTCAGTTCCAGCCCTCTATTTTTTTCTGAGACATTAATTGCCCAGGCAGGTCCTCCTAACTCAGCTTCTTGAGTAGCTGAGTTATAATAGGTCTGCACCTCCAGGCTCTGGTCATTTATAATAATAGAGCCACCAGGCCAGCAGGGGGAAAATCTAGAAGCCAGGATTGGTGGGGATTCTCAGACTCTCTTTTGTCCCAAGGTCAGGACAGAAATGGCTAGAGTACCAGCCCTACTCCCACATAGTCATGTTTCTGTCTTCCCATGCCTGTCTGTCTGCCCAGCAGAGGAAGTATGACCTGCATTACCGGATCGCCCTCTTTGTCAACTACCTGGGTCACTGTGTTTCCGTGGTGGCCTTGGTGGCCGCTTTCCTGCTCTTCCTTGTTCTTCGGTGAGTTCATCTCCACCCTGCTTCCTCTTCTCTGTTTCTCCCAGACATTGTCTCCTCCATTCTGGGGCCTGGGGAGAGTGGACACAGATGGGGTATGCCAGAAGCCCAGCTGTGACCACCAGGGGAACTTAGGCTATGGTGCCACCTCATCCCAGACAGTCTCATCCTTACCCTGCTGGCCCGCATCCCAAGCCCCAGCCGAACCTGGCTGACCCTCACCTGGACCTCCACAGGAGTATTCGCTGCCTGCGGAACGTGATCCACTGGAACCTCATCACCACCTTCATCCTGAGAAACATCACGTGGTTCCTGCTGCAGCTCATTGACCACGAAGTGCACGAGAGCAACGAGGTCACTGCTCGGCGCCTCAGGCTTGGGGATGCCTGTCTTGCTGCCTGATACATGATAGTCTATCTTGTGTAGTGACCCACCATGGGCCAGGCCTTGGGGGTTGCTCTCCCAGCTAAAACCATCACCCATCCCCTGCCTCCCCCACCCTTACCCATCTTGCAAGTCCAGGTACCTTAGAGGAAAGGGAACTGACACTAACTTCTAACACAGGGCAGGAGAGATTAATTCCCCTTCCACAGACATGGTAACTGAAGCTCAGAGAAGAGAAGGTTACATGTTGGTATGGTTTCTCCACATCTGAGGTGTCCACTCTGGATATGTGTCAACTGTTACTGCACAGTGTCCAAGTCACTGTAAAACTGTAACCTAGAAGAGGGTCAACCCCAATCTCTGAGTTCTCAGTACATTTTCTCTGGCTAGCCTGGCCCTAAACACTCTCTCTCTCTTCCTCCTTCCCCCCTCCCTCCCTCCCTCCCTCTCTCTCTCTCTCTCTCTCTCTCTCTCTTTCTCTCTCTCTCTCTCTCTCTGCCCTCTCATTTGATCCTTAACTCTGCCTGGCCTGAAGTCTGCCTCAGGGCCCTGCCTCAGGGCCCTGCCTCAGGGCCCTGCCTCAGGGCCCTGCCTCAGGGCCCTGCCTCAGGGCCAGTCCAGTGTAATGAGGTATCAGACACTCCAGCCCAACTGTTAGCTGCCACTAATGAGACTGCACTTAACCTGCAAAAAGGGACAGTTTACTGTTTGGGGTTCATAGTTTCCCACCCACCAATGATTTTAGAACAAAGGAGACCACAACTAGATGGACTCAGGATTAGGGCTGGGGCTGTAGGGTAGAGCCATGGGGCAGCAGGCAGCTCAGCCTAGGAGCGGTACCCAAGAACCAGATGAGTAGGCCACTCAGGGAGGAAGTAAGCAGCTCCCCTCCCCCAGCTGGCTGCTGACCCCACATTCTCTACATGCTAACTTTGACTGGGAGAAAGAAAGCCACAGGAATGGAAGCCCATGGCTTGAACCCTGGCTCAGAGGGGCCACTGCGTGAGTCTGGGCCAGTGTCTTCCCTCCCTACATTGCATGTAATATGCTCGGAAGGTCTCCTCACTCAGAGGAACAGGGCAGACCCTGCTCTGCAGACAGGCCACACAATAGCAGCCCTGACCACAGCTCCCACTCACGCCTCAGTGCCTTCCTTTCCTATCACCACCAGGCAAGGTGGCTACCTCGAGGCTTAGAGAAGTGCCCAGATATGTAGAGGCCTCAAAACTAGCAAGACTTTGCATGCTTTCCCTCCATGAGCCAACCCTTCAATACCTCAGTGACCATGGCCCCACACTACTCTATAGATTGTTTCCCTCACATTGTTTTTGGGGGAGGGGGGTATTTTGTTTTGTTTTGGTTAGGTTTGGTTTGGTTTGTTTGTTTTGGTTTTGGTTCTTCGAGACAGGATTTCTCTGTGTATCTCTGGATGACCTAGAACCCACTCTATAGACCAGTTTGGTCACAAACTCAAAGATCCACCTGCCTCTGCCTCCCAAGTGCCAGGATTAAAGGTGTGGTCCACCACCACCCAGCTTGTTTCCATTCTTTTCAAGTGGAAGCCCAAAGTCTATTGGAACCCAGTTTGACTCTATGTAGCCAAAGGGACTTGAGCATTGAAAATAGGGCTGATCAGACCCAGCTCTGCTTGCAGAAAGTCAACCAGCCTCCCTTTCTAGACTGAAAAGGAGGCATCAGACATGGTGATGTAGGCCTGTAATCTCGGCTGCTTGGGAAACTGAGAAAGAGTTTTGTAAGTTCAAGGCCTACAGGGGCCACATAGTGAGTTCACAGCCAGCCTGGGCAGTTTAGTGAGACTGTTACAAAATACATATATTTTCCAATGTCTTAAAAGGCTGGGACTGTAGCTCAGGCTGCTTGCCTCGCAGGTGGGAGAGCCTGGTTTCTGTCCCCTAGAGCACGTAAGCAAAGAGACTGAAGAGGTGGGGGATAAGAGGAAGGGAGAGGGGCCTGGGAGAAGAGCTGCCCAGAAGTGGGGCGGAAGGCTGAGCTACCCCACTGAGAGTTGGTGTTATGTAGAACCCTGTGTCCTTTGCCTCCTGTGGGACCTGCTCTGCCGCCCGGGCAGCCTCTCACCACCCCACCCACCCCACACGCAGGTCTGGTGCCGCTGCATCACCACCATCTTTAACTACTTTGTGGTCACCAACTTCTTCTGGATGTTTGTGGAAGGCTGCTACCTGCACACAGCCGTCGTCATGACATACTCCACAGAGCACCTGCGCAAGTGGCTCTTCCTCTTCATTGGATGGTGTGAGGGTCCCTGGACAGGAGGGCCTCCTGGGAAAGGGGCACTGCTAATTACACCCCCCTTTATCTTGAAGCCAAGGACTGGAACCCAGTCTGCCTTGCTACCCCCATGCAGCCCCTGTCGTTACCCTATGCAGTATTGGCCAATGTCCCAGTACAGTTCTGCACCAACTCAGGGTGCATCTGCTTCCTCCATTCTGCCCACAAAGGTCATTGCAGAGGTCATTCCAGAAAGTCTTCCTCCTACCCAAGGTGACCAGACCAAAGATCCTTGTTCCTGGCTCCAAAAGGAGCTGGCTCTCCTTGTCCACCACACCATCCTCTGTTTGCAGAGGATGGCTGAGAGTAGGTAGGGTGGGAGCTGAGACAGGCACCAGAGTGTCGCAGATGGCCTGTAGTTGGAAGACCAAACACACAATCCCAGCCTCCTTGTGATTTTCTGCTGCCTTGATACAAGAGGGTCTTGACACATCTGTCCATCCTGTGTATCATATGTCTCTCCTTCCAGGCATCCCTTGCCCTATCATCATCGCCTGGGCGGTTGGAAAACTCTACTATGAGAATGAACAGTAAGTGTGACAGGCCGGTGTGGGGGTTTTGTGATAAGATAGGCAGCCTTGGCTCTGGCCCAGCTCTGGGTGGGGTGGAATTGCAACCTTTGCCTCAGTAGACCACTCTTTTGTAGTCCTCAGGCAGAAAGAAATAGGTCCACCCCCATGAGTCCTCACACACCAGGCTCGCACATTGCATCTGTAGAATTCAATTCAGCCTTCCTTGTATCTGAGACTGGGCTACTGGATAAAAGCGCCTCCCCTCTGAGATCACCGGGGTACTGGACCATAGCCCAAATGACAGCACCTCCCCATAACATCACAGGGGCAAGAAGTGACAAGTGGAATGTAGGGTGTACATAGGAAAGGCTCAGAAAGACAAAAGTTGCTCAGAAGTGGAAGGCTGCCTTGGTAAATGATAAGCTTTCTCTCAAAGGGGCTGTTCAGAGAGCAGAGATTTCGGGTGCTCTGAGATGGCTGCCTGAGACCGCCCTGCGTTGGGTGACCTCTGAAGTTCAGTACTTGCTGGCAGAGTCAGAAACTTAGCCTAGCCTTTCTTCTGGGCCCAAAGCATTCCCAGCAGTCGGTGAGCCTGGCCAAGCCATAGGCTGCCTTCACTGTGTGTGTGAAGCTCAGCTCAAAGACTAAGGAAAGACTGGGCCCAGGAATGGGGAAGGCCCCACTTCCACACCTCTGCGTTATGCCACGAGTGGCTGGCACACAGCCCAGGTTCTGTAACTAACAGGTAACACGTGACAGCTCGGCCATAGGTCAGTGAAGGCTTCCTTGGTCCTTGTATCTGTTGCATTCCCAGTCCTTGGCCCCCACAGCCTGCAACAAAGCAGGGGACTTCAGAGGAGGCCCCAGGCAAGCCCTGAGACTGGCCATAGGAGGCCAGCCCCACCAGATACAACAGAAGACAAGGCAGGGCCTTGCAAGGGCAGTCCATGGAACTGTCTACCAAGAACTGCCCTGGAGGCTGGGCTCAGGAAGGGTCACACCAGAGGGGCTACTTCTGAGTTGAGAATGGCCCTCTGGGCACAGCCCAGTAGGCCACCCCAACTGCCCTGTCTTTGCAGGTGCTGGTTTGGCAAGGAACCTGGTGACTTGGTGGACTACATCTACCAGGGTCCCATCATCCTCGTGTTATTGGTAAGTCCTCTGGGGATTTAAAGGGTTGGGGCACTAGGAGCATAGCAGGAGATCCAGCTAGGCAGTGAAAAAGGCCTGGACTGGGCAGCACCCTGTGCTATTCCGGTGCCCTGCACAAGGCACCCAACTTCCATCACCACTGATTCCCCTATGGGCTCTGCCTGGAGCCACCTGCACATGACGCCAGACTTTTTAAATTCTGTTTATTTTTATTTTATGTGCATTGGTGTTTTGCCTGCATGTGTGTCTATGTGACAGTGTCGGATCCCCTGGAAGTGGATTTGTGAAGCACTATGTACGTTCTGGGAATTGAACTCAGGTCCTCTGGAAGAACACTCAGTGCTCTTAACCACTGAGCCATCTCTCCAGCCCCCGTCTCTAGACTTTCTTTGGTCTGACTGATTGGTTCTAGTGCCTTTCCGGGTCCTGTGCTCCTTGCCAGATACAATGCTGAGACAGGAAGGTAGGCAAGCAGCTGGTCCAAGCAAAAGGTGTGCTGGCTTCTGTTCAGCACAGAGCTGAGTTCCTCTGCCCCCAGGAACACCCTCTAGGGCCCCACCCACCGCCCTCAGGCTGGCAAGAGATTCCAGAATGCAGCATAATGAGCAATTGTTCCTAGGCCAGCTCCCCGCCCTTTGCCAAGTGTATTCACATCTAAGATATAATTGTCACCACATCTTTAATCCACAACAAGCTTTAATTAAGATAGAGTTTAAGTAGGGGCTGTATTCTGAAAAAAAAATAAGAGCCCATTATACATCATACATTAAAAAGTATACAAAAAAGCCCCATAAGAAATTGGCATTTACATAAGATTTATTTCAGGCTTCTGTGTGTACCAGCTCTCTTAAAGGGCCATGGAGCCATCAGGAAAACTCACAGGATGCCCTCCTCTTGCACACAGCAGGTGCCTAGCGGGGCCTGTCTTTGTCTACCATGGCGACAAGTACCATTTATCCCTTCCCTTTCCTGACTCTCTCCTTCCTGTGACTGTTGGAGCCACTGGACCCCATCTTTGGAGTGTCCTTGATGGATATCAGTTGAAGATGACAAGAAAGGTTTTCCACCCACCTTAAGGGCTCCACTCACTTGGGAGGCAGAAGCTGGTCTTTGTCAGTGGTGAGGGAAGGATTGGCCTTGGACTGACAGCTGCAGTGACTCACTCACCCCTCAGTGTGAATGAAAACCTCCCAGCCAGCTGCCAGAAGCTCCTGTGAAGGGATTGGGGCTTTTGATAAACCTGGGACCCAGCCAAGAAGGGCCGGCCTGGATGGGAACCAAAAGCTTAGGAATGAGCTCCTGCCTACTGCTGTTGCACAGGTAGTGAGGAAACCATAAAGAAGGGAGGAGGGGCATTTGGAGTCCAGCTGCCTACTGCCCCGTGAGTATGTCCACATCGGCAGCTGCACACACCCTTCCTTTGCAGCCAGTTAGTTAGGCTAGCAGAGGCTTCCAGAACCTGAGCTGAGCCCTTCTGCAGGTTCTGTTTCTGGCACTTCCAATCCTCACACTTGTGCTCTCACACAGGGGAGATGGTACTCCCCATTGCAGAGATGAACCCAAGGTTACAGGCACAACTCATGGAGCCGAGACCCAGGGACCAGCCTCCTGTTTCACCACCCCGCCTGCTTGACTGCCTGCCCCTCCTATTCTCTAGAGGGTTCCGTCATTTATTTCTAGATTCTGGGAAGGGAATCTGGTGGCGGAGACTGTGAGAAGCCTGCCCACTGCCTAGTGGTCATTGTGGAAAAAGGATGTCCATTCTTTACAACTGACACGTGGCTTTTTCACCATGACTGTCAAGCTGCTCCAATCTTCAAGGCAAGCTCCCTGGTTATCTGTGCTGGACATTCAAGGAAGTGTCAATGTGGTTAGTGATTTGCCTCAGGCCACAAAAATGCAGGGAATTTGGACCTGGAGGCCCACACTTGTTGCCAAGAGTTCACTAGAGATGGTCTTAGGACCTGCACCGGGTGATAGCAGCAGCAGGAGCAGGTCAGGGTTACCACCAAGGCAAACAGCCTTACTCTCAGCCTGGTACCTTGGAAGAGCTGTGAACAAAAGTCTTAGACTGTCCCTTTGAAGGTGGGCACACTGTCCTATCTATCTGCCCTGGAGGTTGCCTCGGGACTATTAACTCTCCACATCTTCAGTCAACCCTGTTTTCACAATGAACTAGCCCTGTGACACTAGAGAATGCCTCAGGCTGAGCACTGACCCCTGCAAGTGTTCTTGGGGCCAAAGGACACAGGATAGACATCTAGAGCATGTGACACTTAAGGTCTGACTGACCGGTGCTGGGCTTTGTAGCTCATGGGCAGTGACTTACTTTACCTGCCTCCCAAAGGACCTTTAGCATCCCTACAGCGTCCCCACAGTTGGCCATACCTGTTTCTAATGCAGATTCCTGAAGCCCGAGTCTGCTCCAACAAAATGCACACCATGTAACAACATCCAGGGGCCTTGGATATGCGCATCTGGGGTCCTGAGTATAATAATGTCAGGTGTGCACAGATGCTGGGAGGGGAAGTGTCCTATCAGAGCTTTCTCCCTGTGCTAATCAGCTGCCTGCATGTACCAATTCATCTAGTAAGGACCAATCTACCAGGGGCCATTGCTGCTAACCAAGTCCATCTTGAGGGGATCCGGACTGTATAGATCCCAGTAAAGCAGACAAGTGTGGTCCTGAAGTAGGTGTGGTGCAGATGGGTGAGAGCCAAAAGGAAGAGGCGAGTACAAAGCCTGGAGAGGACTTCTAAGAACCAGGATAGGGCAGGGTAGAGATGTCCCCTAGGCCTGAGGCGATCATCTTAAAGATGGCAGAAGGCAAGTCTAAAGCCCACAGAGAGATGAACCATGTCACCTGTTCTGTTACCTGGTCTTCTCCCCTATCTCCCCCTTTGTCCCCTCTCAGCCTGTGCCTACAGTGAGGTTCTGACAACAACGCAGCTCCTATGAGCAAGCAACATGCCTTACTAAGTACTTTGCCCTCCAGCAGGCTTAGGAACCTTACATAGTGGGGCTGCAGAGGAAGCGAGCTGGTTTTGTACTTTCTCTGCCTTGGATTATGGTGGCAGGCAGGACTGTGCCATGTGCATTGTGGAATAAGCAGTGGCTGTAGCCTCTTGGTTTGTGGTGTGATCCTGAGGGAACTCTGTCCTCTTGGTACTGTGTTCTCCCACTAATGCATGGCTGCAGCATATGTCTAGGGGACTCAGATATATGCTAGTGCTCTGGACTCTTTCTCAGCAGGTCCTGAAGTAATCAAACCTCCCTAGGACAGACCTCCAATGGGGGAGCCGAGCTGCTGAACATGAGACGGTAGCCAGTTTCTGTCTGCCCACGTTTTCTTAACCCCTGTAGCAGCAGCATGTGTAGAGGCTGAGAGAAGGGGGCTTCTGAAGCCAATGCTGCTGTCTGTGGCTTAACAAATCCAACAATCCATTGCAACTGGACATCTGTAAAGCATGGGTGGTGGTGGGGCCTGCCTGTAAGAGAGGCTACAGCTTAAGGAACAGCCATTGTGTCTGGGACTGTTGTATCTGGGACTGTTGTATCTGGGACCGTTGGTTCTGGGACTGTTGTGTCTGGGACTGTTGTGTCTGGGACCGTTGTGTCTGGGACAGCTGTGTCTGGGACCGTTGTGTCTGGGACTGTTGTGTCTGGGACTGTTGCGTCTGGGACCATTGTGTCTGGGACTGTTGTGTCTGGGACTGTTGTGTCTGGGACTGCTGTGTCTGGGACTGCTGTGTCTGGAACCGAACCTGGAATGGTGTGAGCACTAGATCTCCATTGTTGAGCTCTAGGCATGCATAGGCCTCCCCAGGCCTGTCCTGTCACAAGAGCATAGACAGTGAACTGCTGACATTGTGGGAGTCAAGACAAGATCTTCTCACATGGTGGCTACCTTGACACCTACTGCCACCTTCCAGGCTCAGACCTTCTCTAGGTCTGGCAGCACTCACTCCACTGAGCCTCCTGAGGAGAAGCAGATGAAATGCTAGTGTCAGTGGCACCAAACTGCCAATGTTAAGGGTGTGGAAAGACAAGACTTCTCAGGGTGTGGAAAGACAAGATTTCTTGGGTAAAGCTCTTCAGGGAGCTGGTCCTACCTGTACCACACCAGCAATCTCAAAATCCATCTATGTGGACCACCTTAAGAACATTCCAGGCTGGGTGGGAGTGCCCTGCAAGGGAGTTGTTGAGGGAGATGGGTTTTCCTGTGGGGGATTTCAGATGCTTCCTCCTCCCGGAGCTTGTCTTGACCCCCACAAGCAGCATTATGCTGGCCACCATCTGGGGCTGGCTCCTCCACCCAACACCTCTCTCTCCTGGTGTGCTCTCTGCCAAGAAGCTTCCCACTTTCACAGCTAACATTGTCATTACTGGTTCTCAGCTTATTTTAGTGCCATTTCTCCAGCCCTTTCTGAGTGAGTCCCTAGGAAAAAGGCAGACCCTCTCCATCTTCAACTAGGCCATACTTCTCTGTGAGCAGGTGCTGTGTCTGCCTGTCCACATGCCTTTCACTGGTGCCAAGCACAGAGGCTGGCATGGTAAGATGATTGGTTGAGTGCAAGAATAGTTAAGTACAACCAAGAGCCAGGTTGGACAAAGTCTGGGTACAGTGGGTCATGGAGGAGCTGAAGTGTTTTGCTTTGGTGTGCAGGGTAGAATCTAAGATGGAGTCCTGAAGAGTTAAGTGTGGCCTGAAGTGGTCAAAGGGCTCCCTGGATAGAGAGGAAGGTATCTGGGATGAGATTGATGTAGACACCATAAATGAGGAGACTGAGAAATAAGCTTAAAAAGACAGAGTAGCTTCCTGGGGGCACAGATCCTATTGGAGGTAGACTGTCAGTCAAAGAAGAGGACCAGGTCTCCTAGATGCTCCATATAAACCACCTTTCCTGCCTTGCTCACCACAGACAACAGGGCCCTGTAGCCAAGGGGTGCTCAGTGACCTCTGGGCAGATGGATGGATGGATGGATGGATGGATGGATGGATGAATGGAAGGATGGATAGATGGATGGATGGATGGTTGGATGGACAAAAACAGTGGGTGGACAATCAAATGAAGTCTTTGGTGGGAGGATGGATAGATAGATGGATGAAACATTGGGTAGATAATTGAACAAACTAATTAGTGAACTAGATGATATTTAACACAACAGAATAAATATAAAGAAATTTGAATATCTTTTTATTTCAACAGTCTCTACTCTCAGAGAGGTCAGAAAGAACCAGAAAAAGACCAAAGATTTTGTGTTACTTTAGGCTAGGTGAGCCTTTAGAGAAAGCAGGCAACAGGCCATGAGCAGCCTCCTGGAAGGCTTCCCTCCAGCTGTCTGTGGGCTCACTAGACTGTATCCTATACATGCATGTGAGACAGCAGTAAAGCTGCAGGGAGGTGAGAGTTCAAATCTTCCAGGCCCTCTACCTTCAGCTTGGGAGAGAGGGGCTACAAGGCTGATGCATGCTGAAGTCCCTTATTCCCTGCCTGGAATCTATAGTGTAGGAGGATTAGAAGGACTGGCTTAATCTGCACAAGCAACAGATTTTTCTAGACAGAACCTGGAGCAGGGGCATGTGTGTGTCTCCACACATATGGGACAGCAGACATCCCTAGGCTAATTACGTGTCTCCTAACCTGTGAACACTTTGTGAGGAAAGAGTCCCATCAGGCTTGTACACACTCCCATTCCTGTTTGCTTACACTTGGCAGCACATGAAGAGAAATGCAGGCACACAGTGTTCCCAGATAGACACGCATGCATGGTCGCACAAGACCCATTCTGAGATAAGCATATGGACAAGCATACAGGGCAACACACACAGAACAACAGCACAGCCATGGGGACCAACTAACCAATTTGCTGACCCTTGAGATACCCTCAGAGACCAAGAGACCCTGGGGATCCACAGGGACCCACACAGCATGAAGCTGACTCGGAAGCCAGCAGACCCATGGCAGTGAGAGGTGGGAGCGTCATTGATGCTGAGGAAAAGCACAAATGAAGATAAATGAGTCCCTTTCCCAGAGCTGCTGGGCAGCCCATTCATCTTCCTAGCCAGTGGGTGTCTGATGGCTTAGGAGCTCCTAGGAGCAGGGGTGGTAGAGATTAACCACTCCATCTGGACTGTGTCCCTCTCCCCGCAGGGCTAAGCTTAAAAGGCCTTTGGCCACCTAGGGCTGATGACAGTTTGAGAGCCTCTGAGATCTTCCATCAATAAGTAGGGACCCTGTAACCGAGAGAAGACAGATGGATCCGAGATCTGGGTGTGGTTCTCTATAGTCTTGGAGCAGGGCATCGATTGGGGCACTTGGAAGTGAACCCAGAGGAGCGGTCACTCCTCTCACCCACTGCTTTTACACGCTTCCTGGGCCGTGGGTGGAGGTCAGGACCTGGAGTCAATGGGTGCCTCCTGCCCTGACTAGGGAACAGCAGAAGTTGTGTGATCAAAGCATTAGCTCAGTGCTGGGGCCTGTCAGGGAGGCAGGTGTCAGAGATTCGGGAAGGAGGTCTCTTCTCAGTCATCCCCACAGACCTCCCTTGCCTCTCTCTGCTTTCTTCCAGATCAATTTTATATTTCTCTTCAACATCGTCAGAATCCTGATGACAAAGTTAAGAGCATCCACCACTTCCGAGACAATCCAGTACAGGTATGGGAATGCCTGGATGCCTGACTGGCAGGCAGGGAAGAAGCAAGAAGGTCCTCTCACCAGAGCCCTTACCGTCCTCACCCTAGAGCTTGCTTGAGCTCCCAGAAGCCAAGCAGGGAACCCCTCTTCCCACTGGAGTGAGTCCTGCCTACAGTCACTGCCATCTTGCTTCCCCATCCAGGAAGGCAGTGAAGGCCACCCTGGTCCTCCTCCCGCTGCTGGGCATCACCTATATGCTCTTCTTTGTCAATCCCGGTGAGGACGGCCTGTCACAGATTGTGTTCATCTATTTCAACTCTTTCCTGCAGTCCTTCCAGGTAGGCAGTGCACTTCCCATGTCTGGAAGCTCAGACTGGGCCTGCACACTAGGATCGGTTATATGAGCACCAAAATACAGGTGCTGGTATGCTCAGAACCCCACTGGACCCCAGATGCTGACCAGGCTGCCCTGATCATGGCACCCCCAGGGCTCAGCTATGTTAGCACTTCTGAGCTCACCTAGGACAAGCTCGGAATGTTGAGGCCAGAGACCACAGCCACTTAGAGCAGACCCTGTTGTAACTGTGTCCCTTGTCTGGGCCTGGAACTTCTGAGGCCCCACCCAGCTCTGAGCCCTAGGTCCTGGGAGGTGTGCCCCCAGCCATCATCCTCCTGCCCTCCCGTACCCCCAGATGGAATGACTCCCCGGCAGATATCTGACATCTCCTTCCTTCCATTCTAGGGTTTCTTTGTGTCTGTTTTCTACTGTTTCTTCAACGGAGAGGTAGGAGACAGGCCTTTAGGGTGGTCTAGGGGCTCAGGTGGTCTGGTCAAGCTGCCCGGCCTTTCAAAAGAGCTTCACCACTGGCTCTGCTCAGCTCTGTGTGATGGGAGAGGGGTTGAGAGACTACTCAACTTTAGGCAAATGGAACTTCTCCTGCAGAACTAGTGTAGGTCAACTACACAAGCCAGAAATAACATGTCATCATCCAGGGTATGCCCTCCAAGCCAAGGAGCAAGGTGCTCAGATAGCAAAGCCTGTGGAAGCCAGACAGAGAGGATGACAGAAGGAAGCTTCCAGTAAAATATCATTCAAGCAGTTCCTTACTAACTCGGCAGAAAAGAAACTATCAGGGGCTGGCGAAATGGCTCAGGGAATTGGCTGCCAAACTCAACAACCTGAGTTCACATGGTGGAATGAGAGAACTGACTCCTGAAAGTTGATCGTCTCCACACACATGCCATGGTGCTCACTGGACACACACACTTACACACTTACACACTCACACACACACACACACACACACACACACACACACACACACACACCACACACAGACACACACACACACACACATACTCTCTCACACACATACTCAGGAAGAAGCTGATGTCTTCCATTACAATACAAACAGGAAACTCAGGTGTAGAGGACCAGCTAGGAGCTGCCCCTTAAACAACAGTAGGAAGGCCAGACTGTAGAGGGGGCAAGGATGACGAGGAGGTTAGGCCTGATACCTGCTCCAGCAGGGGCTGAGCTGAACTGAGCGGCTGGTTTACAAAGCCAAAGGTGCCTAATTCATAGTGGCAGGGGTATCCACAGGAAACGGGAACCTTGAACAGGCCAATGGCCTCTCCAGGAGAGGGAAGGGGAGGATGGATTCCTGAAGAAGCTGCAGGGCAGCCAACAGCATTCAGAGGCGGACCTCAGATTGCGACCTCACCAGCCCCTTGGAGTGAGGGTGGCAGGCCTAGGGCCATCCCAGACTCCTTTAATAGCTCTTGGGGCTGGGGGCTGACTGGCAGAGGCTTGGCCCCATCAGGTGGCTGAGCCTCTCCCTCCCTGCAGGTGCGCTCAGCCCTGAGAAAGCGATGGCACCGCTGGCAGGACCACCACTCCCTCCGAGTGCCTGTGGCCCGGGCCATGTCCATCCCTACATCACCCACCAGGGTCAGCTTCCACAGCATCAAGCAGACAGCCGCCGTGTGACCCTATGTCATCCATCACTCATCACTACACCGCTGAGGCAGCTTCCTCACCCTCTACAGCCTTCCCCTGGGTCCTCCTTGCTACACTGACCCTTGGGGTGCAGGAGAAGGAGGAGGGAGATCGACTCTCCAGCCTGGAAGGAAAGGAAAGCTGTGGAAGGGGGCTCTGAAGGACCAGGGCCCAGTACAGCCACAAGTCTGCAAGCAAGAGGGAGCAGAGGACCTCAAAAAGAGTGGATCCTCACCATAGCATCATTTACATGTGAAAACACTGAGGTGTTTAGCAGCCAAAGGCCTGGCCACACCACACAGTTACATGTCCCACTCACAGCACCCACAGTTGGCTCTGATCCTTGCTTTCCAGCTTTGCACTTGGGGTGCCCTCACTGAGGATGCATGCCTTCTGTAAGTGGGGGAGACAAGAATTAACTTATCTGGCTTCATCCCAGGGACTGGCTAAGAGAAGCCCCCTCCTCAGTACCAGCCGCTCACCAAGCTGCACCTCCACTCTCTTCCCTGTCCTCCTGCCCCTGTGTCTCCAGAAGAATGCTGGCTTCCAGTCTTCTATCCCTCCTGGGAGACCTCCATTCAGCCCTGGGCTCAGTCTGGGGACTTGGAGATCCCATGGGCAAATGAGACAGATGGAAAGTCATGCTGTCAGGCCAATCATAGTGCCAAACTGAAGGGAAGCAGACCCACCAGGGACATAGGGAGTGGGGTGAGATTCTCACAAGTAAGAGCATTTCTCCTCAGACTGCTTCAGCCTCCTTGCAGAAACAGCTCTATGTGATATCAGCCAGGTATCTGTGGGGGTGACAGAGTTCAAGTCAAGCAGCTAGACATTGGAGAGATGATGTGGGCCAATGATGATGCAGAATGTCTGCAGGGTGTAGCCATATCTTTCTCCTTAAAGATGACGGCCAGGCCCAAGCAGGCCTTCCTCTGGCCTGCGGTGGGTTTGGAGTTTCCAGGTTCAAAGAACCTGAATCATCCTTGTCATCCTCCAGGATGACAACTGCCCCACCCCCAATGCATAGCCTGCTTGTGCCAGGGACTAAGATTCTGAAACTGGGAGAGGGGGCAAGGCCTCCAGGATCCACAAGCAAGAAGCAGAGTGGGCTTCAGGCTCCACCTCTATCCCTCTGCCCCGCCCCCCAGCAGAAGAAGAGGGAGAAGCCAACAGACTGTAGTCTTGAAAAGTTCCTTGTCTAGGTACCCCACAAAAATAAACTCTGCAAAACGATCCCGTTTCATACATATTTAGTTTGGCATTTAATACATCTTAAAGCATGGAAAGATGTGGTTTCTGACATTTGGTAAATATTTGAATTTTAGAAAACTGTCACAGCACTTTAAAATGCACCAAATGGCACCTGGTATTGCATGATTCCAGGGCCACTGTCATCTGTCTTCACTTTGTCAGCAGGTGGCTTCTGTTGCCTCATTTTTTTCCTAGTCCCTGACTCCATTCCACTGTCCCTAGAGGGTTTTGTTTTTAGATTTAATTTTTGGCTTCCCTTATCGAACTTCTCTGCCTGGCTCTTAGAATTTTTTAGAGTCTTCTAGATTGGGTATCACAGCTTTTTTATTTTTCTAGATTTGTTGGACAGTGCCTCACTATTTAGTTCAGGCTGGACTCAAAACTTGCTAAGTAGCTCAGGCTCACCTTGAACTTCCAGTCCGGCCTCAGCATTCTGAGTGCTAGGATTATAGACACATGCTTTAAACTATTTTTTAAATATAGTCCACATTAGATATTGAAAGGTTTTTTACACTTATTTTCTTGTGGGGAAGTGCATGTGTACCATTGTTTGTGTGTAGAGTCAGAGGAAAATTTTTACAAGTCATTTTTCTCTTTCTACCATGTGGGTCCTTGAAATCAAACTCCAGTCATCTGGCTTTACCTGCTGAGCCATCTTGCTAGCCCTAGACATTGACATTTATAGACATTTTTTTATATAATTGTTAAACCTAAAATGGAAATTACATTGAAACAACACCTTAAACAAACAAATAGAAATTTAATTGTTCAGGAATCCTTGGATGCATTTTATAGCAAGAATGAGTCAGAATTCAGGACAAACTTCCTTCCTCCCTCCCCCTTTACAGCTTTTCAAATAAACAAGAAGCTGTAGGCATGCCACTCACTTCCTTACACTGCTTCTGAGATGCATGTTCTAGATTGCATGGCAATCTATAACCAAAAATGCTGTTGGCTGCCTCTTCTTCCCTCTTTATATCTGACTGAAAAGAATGAGCTGAAAATGATCTGCAACAAGCTATGTGGCCCCTGTCAGTGTGTGTTTGGTGTCTGTTCCCTGTTCTGTGTACCAGACAGTGTTGGTGGGGGCTAGTGAAGGGAGTTTCACACTTGATGCCCTGGAGAGTGGTGTGGACAAGGCTTTGGCTTCTCTTGGCATTGGGGAAGTAGGAAGTATGAGTGCCTAGGCTTGGTTTTCTCAAAGGACAGAAGTCAGGCATGCAAAGTCTCCCTGCCTAGCCAGAGGAGCAGTAATGGCTGAATTGATGAACATTGTAGAGCTCTCTAGAGCAAAGAGGTATAAATGGCTTGGCTCAAGAGGTCATGTGAAGAGCTACTGAGACTAGAAGAGGCAGCAGGACTTCTCAGAACTGATGCCACAGAGCCTCGGTACCACCCGTCAGTGCTCCTCAGGTGCCCCCCTCAGTACCACTTACTATTTCTCCTACATGAGTTAGCTGGAGGGTTTGGGGGTCTGTGATCTAAGCTAGGTGGGACAGTACTACCCATGGAGCATCAAGTTATAGACCAATTGGGTAGAGATTCCACCCCAGCCCTGCAATTCTCTGCTCCCCGGGCTCCAGTTCATGGCCCTGGCTGAATAATGCCCTTGAAATGCCATCAGAAATGTTAGGCCATCTCTCTCGGTCCCCACTAGTTAACTTCACTCAGCATCTGCTCCCACAGCCCAGCCAGGCCTCATTGGTGCCTTGCAGTCTTCTGAGCTTGCAGTCCCTCACTGAGAGGACTTTTTGCAAAGAGGCCTCATTATTGGACACTGTCAGAACAACTTCCAACACCCAGACCCTTCAGGCTTCAGACTCTCATCTAACCCTTCCAACCCACCCTGCCCTATAAAGCTGGGAAATATGAGCACACAGGATATTTCTCACCCTAATTCATTGGTCCTACTCACAAAGAGACAGCAGACCGAGCCACTGCCTGGTTCCAAGCCCAGAGGGCCCTTCACAAAGTGGGGCCTGAAAGTGCGGGCTGGGGTTAAGAGCTGGTAAATTATAAGTGTGGCTTCCAGAAAGGCAAGTGATGGAGCATCTGTGGGGCAGAAGCTGGGGATGAGGACAGCATTTCCCAGGCTGCTTTGCTGAGAGTCTGTTACAATAAGTCTTTCCGCCAAAAGCCTCCTGAGCCCCACTGCCACGTGTGAGCTTTACGCCAGCCGCCTGCCCGAATTAGGCCCAAATGAATACACAGAAACTTGTATTAGGTTCAATGCTGCTTGGCAAATGACTAAGATTCTCATCTGTTAGCTCAGTCTTAATTATCATAAATCTATATATTTTATAAGACTTATCTTATCGGATGCCTTATTGGCATCCCTCCTTGCCGGTGGATCACATTGTGCCGCTGGAGCAGGAGTGGAGGGGAAAAAAGGGACACTTCCTGTTTTCTCCTTCTTTAAATATGAGTCTCCTTGCTATGTCACTTCCTGCCTGGAACACCACTTCTCTACTACATTTCCCAGAATCCTCTTTGACTCCTAGTCCCATCTAACTTGCTGTCTCATTGGCCAAACAGTATTTTATTTAACAATCAATAAGATAAACATACACAGAAGTACTTCCCCCATCAGAGAGTCCCTGGTAGAGAAGCTGCTGAAGGCCTGAAGCCTCTAGAGCCCCAGGGTCCTGTGGAAGGTGGCTGACAAGTCATGGAGAAATTAGACCATGACAGAGCTAAAACAGTACAAAAAATGACCTAACAGTCACATGCCCAGAGATGGGGATACAGGTCTCTCTAGAGTGTTTCAAGGTTCAGTGGACCCAGAAACTGGAAGGCAGTAAGTGGCCGTCTGGCATCTGTGAGCTCTGTGCAAAGCTACACGCAGTTCTCTTTCCACTGTGTGTGGGGTGGGATGCTATCGAAAGCTGAGGTGAGACCTGCCTCTCTGGACACCTCTAAGGGAAGGCAGCTATGGCAGGAGAGAAAAAGGCCCATTTAATATGTACATTTATTTACTCATTGGTATGGACAGGGGATTTCTTAGGCAATGTAAAGCTCTCCACACAGGGCTGGTGCATGGGACTCATCACAGAACCTCCAGTAACCTCTGCCTCTAGCTGGTGAAGCCTGACCAACAGGCCCTTTCAGAGAGCCTTACTGCCAGAGTCAGCCACACATGTGCATCTAGGTGCTCCTACAACAAAAGCCACTGCTGGGCTAGCTATCCCTGACACTGTGCTACCCTTTACTGCCCCCTGGAACTCTTACCTTTCACTGAACATTTAGTCCCTTCTCATTTGCTCCACTCAAGGTTGGGCTAACCCACAGGAGTCCAGTGCCAGAAAGGCAGAAAAAGACAGCAACCAGGATTGGCAAAGGGAGAAATTTATTCTTCTTCTGTTCCATCCCTATCCTGACCTCCCCATCAGAGCTAAGGGCCAGTCCCCAACCCAGCACCCCCTCTTTTCTGTTTGACAGGATGACAGATCTTGGGGTATTTCTGCCATATCCTATAGAATCTTCAGTAGAAGGCTGGGGTGTAGTTCAGTGGTTGAGTGCTTTGCCTAATATCTATGGCCCAGGCTTGATCCCCAACTAAATAAATGGAGTAACCTCTCCCAAGGATGTAGTGGCTCACATCTGTAATCTCAGCCCTCTGGAGGAAGAGGCAGATGGATATCAAACTCAAGACCAGACTAGCTGCTCATCAAGTTCAAGGCCGCAGTTACATGTAGGATCCTGTCTCCACTGTCATCTCATTTGAGAACTCAAGCCTGGTG